GGTTAGGTGTGGAGGGCGAGGGCTTTGTGCTCCCGGACGCTTTCCCTGTGCCTCAGCAGTCCGTCAAAGTATTAGGCATTGAATTTGGCCCGGCCGATTATGGCAAATCGAATTGGAAGGCCAGGCTGACCAATGCCGAAGTCAAGGTGAAATTCTGGAAGGGGTGGCGACTCTCCTTGAGGGAAAGGGTTGATCTGATCAAAACTTACTTGATCCCCATATTTTTGTATGTCAGCACAGTTTGCATCTTGCCAGAGTCTCTTTATACGAGGATCTACAGTTGCTTTTTCCAGCTGTTATGGGGGGGAAGCAGACTGAACCTTGTGAAGCGAGATGTGACTTACCTATCCAGGAGGAAGGGTGGCTTAGGTATGGTCAACCCGGTAGTCTTCTTCTCTCTGGTGTTTTTGAAGCACAATTTTGGTAACATGCTGGCAGAGAGACCTCCTGCATGGATAAGCCTCTTCCGGAACTGGTTTAGGCCTTTTCTGAGTTGCTGGGAGAGTGGTGGGCTAGTGAAAAGCCTGGGGGTTAAGCACGATGAGCTCCCGACTTATGTTGCCCCGAGCCTGAAAATACTTAGGCAGTGGTGTATGACAGCGGAGGATATTAAGTCCCTCCCTAGGAAGCTCCTGGGTGAGAGGATTGTGTCCACTGTTTGTCACGCGCCACTGGCCTTGAGGGATTGCCCAGGCCATACTCTGCGGAGGGCTTACGCTTATTAAATTCTGAGCGGATTCCCTTCAAGTTTAGGGACCAGGCCTGGCTCGGTTTTCACGGCAGACTCTTCGTGAGGGGAAACTTGAAGTACCGCTCTCTGGATGACTGCAATTGTCCGAGAGAGGAGTGTCGGGGTGAAGTGGAAACTATGGACTACTTCCTGCTTCAGTGTCCCTTCAATGTTGAAGTCTACAAAGAGGTGGGGAGAGCTCTGGGTGTTCCTTTCTTGCACTGCATGTCTTATGCAGAGTGGGTATATGGAGCATTGCAAGATCGCCGGGGTTTTGATTTGGACACTCTTTATTTAGTTAGCCTAGTTGTCCGGTATTTCACGTGGAATGCACGGTGCCAAGTGTCCATACGGAAGAAAGTCCTTCCTGTCCCGGAGGTGGTGCGCGGCATTCTTGGTGAGGTGGGGAAAGTTCGGGGTCTTGAGAAAGACAGGTGTCGGCGAGGGGTCTGGATAAAGGCGTGGAGGAATATCAGGCCTGTAGTTGCCGCCTGTTGATCTTTGGGTGTTGGTAAACTATCCTGTTTTCTTTCTCCTTCCACCCTCCCTTAGATTTTCAGAGATGATTTTTTTGAAGAAAGGCTACATGGACCCGAAGGATCTATGTTCCTCAGTCTAAGTAATGTTTTTTGTGTGATGTTTTGTACAGTGTTTGACTATAGGCCATGTAGGCTACATATGCTATTGTATTCGGCCATAAAGGCCATAAGTGCTTTCTTATTAGGCCGTAAAGGCCATATATGCAGATTTATTGGGCCATAAAGGCCACGTTTTGTTTTCTATGCCATAAAAGCCGTGAATGCAAATCTTTGTTTCCGGCTGTAAGGGCCTTACTTACATGTTGCTTCAGCCATAAGGACTCTAGTATGGCTTTGAAATGTTTACTTTTATGTTTGCACATGATGGAATGTGATGTTGTTATGTTATTTATTTATTTTTTTTATACTTTTGTAGAAAATGTTTGTTGGTTGTGCGTTTTTTTAAAAAAATAAAACAATATCTCCCACCACCACTGGCAAGTCCATTCCTGACAGTACCCCCCCCCCCCTCAAGGAGCGGCCTCAGGACGCTCCAAACAGTCCGTAATGGCCCAAATGTTCCACCGCCTGGGTCCAGCAACTGGCTGGACATCCCACTGCCGGAATCAAGCGATTGGCTGGGTCTCCTGCTGATAGGCCTATCTTTTTGTAGGAGACTGCAGGAAGGCAGATTGCTGGACACAGGATTTCCAGAAGCAGGCTGGGCATCAGGAGCTGGTAGGTCAGGCTGGGGGCAGCAGGCAGAGGCACGTCTGGCTGGGCAGCAGGCAGAGGCACGTCAGGTGGGGACAGCAGGCAGAGGCACGGCAGGCTGGGCAGCAGGCAGAGGCACGGCAGGCTGGGCAGCAGGCAGAGGCACGGCAGGCTGGGCAGCAGGCAGAGGCACGGCAGGCTGGGCAGCAGGCAAGGCAGCGGGCACCGGGCCATCAGGCGGAGCAGCAGGCAAGGCAGCGGGCACCAGGCCATCAGGCGGTGCAGCGGATACCGGGCCATCAGGCGGAGCAGCGGGCACCGAGCCATCAGGCGGAGCAGCGGGCATCGGGCCATCAGGCGGAGCAGCAGGCAAGGCAGCGGGCACCAGGCCATCAGGCGGAGCAGCGGGCACCAGGCCATCAGGCGGAGCAGTGGGCACCGGGCCATCAGGTGGCAGCAGCAGGCAAGGCAGCGGGCACCGGGCCATCAGGCGGAGCAGCGGGCACCGGGCCATCAGGCGGAGCAGTAGGCAGGCAGCGGGCAGCGGGCACCAGGCCATCAGGCGGAGCAGCGGGTACCCGGGCCATCAGGCGGAGCAGCGGGCACCGGGCCATCAGGCGGAGCAGCAGGCACCGGGCCATCAGGCGAAGCAGCAGGCAAGGCAGCGGGCACACCGGGCCATCAGGCGGAGCAGCGAGCACCAGGCCATCAGGCAGAGCAGCGGGCACCGGGCCATCAGGTGGAGCAGCACGCACCGGGCATCAGGCAAAGCAGCAGGCAAGGCAGAGGGCACCGGGCCATCAGGCGGAGCAGGGGGCACCGGGCCATCAGGCGGAGCAGCGGGCACCGGGCCATCAGGCGGAGCAGCGGGTACCGGGCCATCAGGAGGAGCAGCGGGCACCAGGCCATCAGGCGGCGAGCAGCAGGCACCGGGCCATCAGGCGGAGCAGCGGGTACCGGGCCATCAGGCGGAGCAGTGGGCACCGGGCCATCAGGTGGAGCAGCAGGCACCGGGCCACCAGGCGAAGCAGCAGGCAAGGCAGCGGGTACCGGGCTATCAGGTGGAGCAGTGGGCACCGGGCCATCAGGCGGAGCAGCAGGCACCGGGCCATCAGGCGAAGCAGCAGGCAAGGCAGCGGGTACCGGGCCATCAGGTGGAGCAGCGGGCCATCAGGTGGAGCAGCGGGCACCGGGCCATCAGGCGGAGCAGCGGGCACTGAGTCATCTGGCAGAACCGTGGGCACTGAGTCATCTGGCAGAACTGGGCACTGGGTCACCAGGCGGAGCAGCAGGCACCGGGCTATCAGGCGGAGCAGCAGGCACTGGGCCATCAGGAGGAGCAGGGGGCACCGAGTCATCTGGCAGAACCGCGGGCACTGTGTCCCCGGGCGGAGCAGCAGGCACCGGGCCATCAGGCGGAACTGCGGGCACGGGGTCACCAAGCTCGACAGCGGGCACCGAGTCATCTGGCAGGACAGCGGATACCGAGTCATCTGGCAGAACCGCGGGCACTGGGTCACCAAGCTCGACAGCGGGCACCGAGTCATCTGGCACGACAGCGGGCACTGAGTCATCTGGCACGACAGCAGGCACCGAGTCATCTGGCACGACAGCGGGCATCGAGCCATCTGGCTCGACAGCGGGCACCGAGCCATCTAGCAGAACCGCAGGCACTGGGTCACCAAGCTCGACAGCGGGCACCGAGTCATCTGGCAGGACAGCGGGTACCGAGTCATCTGGCAGAACCGCGGGCACTGGGTCACCAAGCGGAGCAGCAGGTACCGGACCATCAGGCGGAGCAGCAGGCACCGGGCCATCAGGCGGCAGCAGTGGGCACCGAGTCATCTGGCAGAACCGCACCGGGCACTGGGTCACCAAGCTCGACAGCGGGCACCGAGTCATCTGGCATGACAGCGGGTACCGAGCCATCTGGCACGACAGCGGGCACCGAGCCATCTAGCAGAACCGTGGACACTGGGTCACCAAGCTCGACAGCGGGCACCGAGTCATCTAGCAGGACAGCGGGTACCGAGTCATCTGGCAGAACCGCGGGCACTGGGTCACCAAGCTCGACAGCGGGCACCGAGTCATCTGGCACGACAGCGGGCACCGAGTCATCTGGCACGACAGCAGGCACCGAGCCATCTGGCTCGACAGCGGGCACCAAGCCATCTGGCTCGACAGCGGGCACCAAGCCATCTAGCAGAACCGCAGGCACTGGGTCACCAAGTGTCCCCAGGCGGAGCAGCAGGCACCGGGCCATCAGGCGGAACCGCGTGCACGGGGTCACCAAGCTCGACAGCGGGCACCGAGTCATCTGGCAGGACAGCGGATACCGAGTCATCTGGCAGAACCGCGGGCACTGGGTCACCAAGCTCGACAGCGGGCACCGAGTCATCTGGCACGACAGCAGGCACCGAGTCATCTGGCACGACAGCGGGCATCGAGCCATCTGGCTCGACAGCGGGCACCGAGCCATCTAGCAGAACCGCAGGCACTGGGTCACCAAGCTCGACAGCGGGCACCGAGTCATCTGGCAGGACAGCGGGTACCGAGTCATCTGGCAGAACCGCGGGCACTGGGTCACCAAGCGGAGCAGCAGGTACCGGACCATCAGGCGGAGCAGCAGGCACCGGGCCATCAGGCGGAGCAGTGGGCACCGAGTCATCTGGCAGAACCGCAGGCACTGGGTCACCAAGCTCGACAGCGGGCACCGAGTCATCTGGCAGGACAGCGGGGGTACCGAGTCATCTGGCAGAACCATGGGCACTGGGTCACCAAGCTCGACAGCGGGCACCGAGTCATCTGGCATGACAGCGGGCACCGAGCCATCTGGCACGACAGCGGGCACCGAGCCATCTAGCAGAATCGTGGACACTGGGTCACCAAGCTCGACAGCGGGCACCGAGTCATCTAGCAGGACAGCGGGTACCGAGTCATCTGGCAGAACTGCAGGCACTGGGTCACCAAGCTCGACAGCGGGCATCGAGTCATCTGGCAGGACAGCGGGTACCGAGTCATCTGGCAGAACCGCAGGCACTGGGTCACCAAGCTCGACAGCGAGCACCGAGTCATCTGGCAGGACAGCGGGTACCGAGTCATCTGGCAGAACCGCGGGCACTGGGTCACCAAGCTCGACAGCGGGCACCGAGTCATCTGGCACGACAGCGGGTACCGAGTCATCTGGCACAACAGCGGGCATTGAGCCATCTGGCACGACAGCGGGCACCGAGCCATCTAGCAGAACCGCGGGCACTGGGTCACCAAGCTCGACAGCGGGCACTGAGTCATCTGGCATCGAGTCATCTGGCATGACAGCGGGCACGGAGTCATCAGGCAGAACCGCGGGCACTGGGTCACCAAGCTCGACAGCGGGCACCGAGTCATCTGGCACGACAGCGGGTACCGAGTCATCTGGCACAACAGCGGGCATTGAGCCATCTGGCACGACAGCGGGCACCGAGCCATCTAGCAGAACCGCGGGCACTGGGTCACCAAGCTCGACAGCGGGCACTGAGTCATCTGGCATCGAGTCATCTGGCATGACAGCGGGCACCGAGTCATCAGGCATTGGATCACCTGGCTCGACAGCTGGCACCAGGTCATCTGGCATCGGGTCATCTGGCTCGACTGTGGGCACCGGGTCATCTGGCTCAACAGCGGGCATCGGGTCATCTGGCATCAGGTCATCTGGCTCAACAGCGGGTACTGGGTCATCTGGCATTAGATCGTCTGGCTCGACAGCGGGCACCAAGTCATCTGGCATAATAATAGGACTATCAGGCTGGGTAGACACATCAAGCTGGGTAGGGTACACTGGGTCATCGGGCATCAGGGTATCAGGCTAAACCACGAAAGGCGGGTTCTCAGATGGCAGGCTGACCGGTTTGGATACTGGCAGGATGGTATTGGTTGGAAGAATTTTCACTTTTTCCTGGTTTTAGTTACTGGAGCGCAGGAAGTAAGCGCAGGTTTGTAAGTGGATAGAGCAGCTGTAGGCAAAGAAGAGCTGAGGGATGGAACAAAGGAGGGAGCAGTTGCTACAGAGGACTTCTTTACAGGGTTAAAGATAGGATAGGTGCAGCGAGCGGGAGCAGGGGACTGATATGTGGTAGTTAGCAGAGTATACTGGGCTGTCACTGGGGGTGCTGTCGGGGATGCAGGAAGAGTGCCTTGAGCAGAGGAATGACGTTGCAAGCTGACTGAGGCTGGGTGCAACAAGTCTGACCATGTCTGCAGTATGGGTTGAACAAAGCTCAGCTTACACAAGCCTGTCTGGTCAAAGACTGCACTGCGTTTATACAATCTCTTAGCACCTGTTGTGAACATGCAGAATAACGCTCCAAGAAGTAATCCACATCATCCTCCAATAACCACACCAGGGACTCTACCTGGTCGGCACTAAATGGCGGCAAAAATTCATCCTTGCATTCGGGGGTACCAGATGAAGCCAACTCTGCACAAACCTGAATCAATGGTTGCACCTCAGAGAACTCTGTGCCCTGATCTACTAGGCAATGAGCGATCCTTATGCATTCTAGTAGTTGATCCCTGGTATACTCCTTCAGAGTCTGATAAGCATAATCTCTGTCATAATCAAGATGCATCCTTCCCAACAACAATAAGCCTAGATGGCTTCCCTGTGCAGCCACTTCTGGTCAGGAATGGCCTTAGTGTTCTGTTAGGGATCTGGGTATGACCAGAAATGTGTGGATTGACACAGGGAAATGCAGGCTTCAGGTATAGTGTGAATAAGACAATTTATTAAGACTAAACAAAACATAGACGCAGTGCAAGACTAAAACAACAACACAGTGCAAACAAACCAACCCAAACCTCCAACAGATAACAATAGAAACAATACTAAGCGTAGTCAGGCAGGCCGGGTCGGTAGCAAATGGGCAGGCAGGGCACAGGGAGCAGGCGGAAGAGTAGTCAAGAATAGCCGAGGTCAGGACAGGCGGAGTTCATGCAGAGTCAGGGATCGAAGCAGAATCTGGATCAGGCAGAAAGCAGACAGGATGCAGGTACAGGGGCCCATGGGAAACATACACCAAGGCCCTGATCACAGGCCTGGCCATTCCTTAAATACACCTGTTGTAATCAGCTTCAGGTGATGGCTCATTGCAGGAGTGAGCCTCTGGTTGCTGAGAGCACCCGCTGGCCAGCCCTGGTACTGCAGCCCACAAGGCAGGTGAGTCCCACCACCACTGGCAAGTCCATTCCTGACAGTGTACGTCCAGCTTCAGAACTAATAGAAGACAGATAGTTTGATTTGGAATTGTGCCCCTTCAGCCTCCCTTCCTTATTCAGGCTTTGACTTTTGCCTAGAGCCAGATGTTACCTGAGCAAAAGGTGGTAGTTGAGGATGATCCCTCTTCTTGAGAAATCAGATCAGGATGACACACTAGTAGCATAGATTTCACCCTTTTTGATACCATACACTCCTGTTTAGTGTTAGAGCAGATGAATCTGTGCATCACGAGGTATCCAGCATAAGATCCCTTAAATTGGAAACTAAGGTTTTCCCGGTGCACTCTCTAGCATAGCATGTCCTATACAGAGACTGGCTCAACCAGAGAAGATTTTTTACTTCTCCAATATGCTGCACTCAACAGTATCCTGTTGAAGAAAGTTTCCTGTGAAAGTAGGCTTTTCCTGTTGTAGGTCCTGCCATTTCTTCCTGCTATCACCTCTGTACAGAGGCTGTCTGATTTAGTGGTTTTATCCTGTAAAGAATACTTGTTAAGCTGACCATAGATGAGTTGTTTTTTTTTTTCTTTTTTCGTTCAGCCAGCAAGGTAAGTAAAAAACTAAAAAAAACCTAAAAAGATTCCTCCATCCTGACAAACGAGGCAAAAGGAGGAATATACATTTTTTAACTTGTTCATTTGATAGAAGTCAATCTAACGATCATCACTCTTTATACCACTTTAATTCAGCATATTATGAAAGGTTCATAACTGTCCATAATACATATATATAGAGATTCTTTTGCCAGCTGGGCATGTAAATCTAAATGCAGCTCACCAGAGTATAAGGCTGGCCATACATGAGTCAATTTTTTGAAAGAAAGAAAATGACTCAGCTTTTCCCATCCACACACTTGATGTGGATGGGTGAATTTATACCACTGTGCTATTATATCCTGACAGTGGGGAGACCTCCCTGCTGTCAGAATACACTGATCGGCACTGTTGGCTATAACTGGTGGAGTTCATCAAGAGAAAATTGTCCAACAGGTTGGTTGCACACTGACCGAATTTCGATCCATGTATGGCCAGCTTTAGTCCTCACATGTGAAGGTCATACAGCCCTTGTGCAAGCAAGGGCAAGGGAACTTAGTGGAATTTCCTCTGCGGTCACACCCTTTGATCCAAACTTCTTTTCACAAGGGAAAAGCAACATTTCGCTTGTGATTAAGCACTCCTAGGGGAAACAAGCAAATAGGCCTTACAAAATAGATTATTACAATTTTAATTGGCAGACACACATTAAAACATCACTTCATAAAAACAAATCCTCCAACTCAGATAAAACTCCAACTACAGTGCTCAGCATAAATTAGTACACCCCTTTTGAAAAGTAAGATTTTAAACACTATCTCAATGAACACAAGAACAATTTTAAAAATTTTGACAAAACTGAGTTTTATAGAGTTTGGCTTATTACATGAAAGTAAGGTTCATATTATAACTTAGATTACAAAATCTTTAGTTTTACTCAAATTAGTTGATTCAAAAATGAATACACCCCACAACAAAAACCACTCCAGCTAGCATTTTATATGACCTCCATGATTTATAAGGACAGCACCAAGTCTTCTAGGCATGCAATAAACAAATTGGCGACATATGGCAACATCTATATTTTTCCATTCTTCAAGAATGACCTATTTTGGAGCCTGGATGCTGAATGGAGAGTGATGCTCAACTTGTCTCTTCAGAATGCCCTATAGGTGTTTGATTGGGTTCAGATCAGGAGATATACTTGGCCACTGAATCACTTTCGCCCTGTTCTTCGGAAATGCAACAGTGTCCTTAGATGTGTGTTTTGGATCATTGTCATGTTAGAAAAGTGCACGACGACCAAGGACACGGAGTGCTGGTAGCATCTTCTCTTTTAATATAGAGCAGTAGATCTGTGAATTCATGATACCATCAATGAAATGCAGCTCCCTGACACCAGCAGCACTCATACAGCCCCAGAGAAGGACACTGCCACCACCATGTTTCACTGTAGACACCATGCATTTTTCTTTGTACTCCTCACCTTTGCGATGTCATACAGTTTTGAAGCCATCAGTTCCAAAAACATTTATCTTGGTCTCATCATTCTAGAGTACAGTAGTCCTCTTCTTTTTCAGCATGGGCCCTGGCAAATTGTAGGTGGGTTAATTTGTGCATGGGCTTTAGAAGAGGCTTCCTTCGTGGACGACACCCATGCATGACATTCCTCTGCAGTATACACCGTATTGTGTCACAGGATACAGTCACCCCAGTTTGGCTTTCTGTTTCTTTAGCTAACTGCAGTGAACTTGCATGGTGATTTTCTTCAACCCTTCTTATCAGAAGATGCTCCTGTCGAGGTGTTAACTTCCTGGATGGCCCGTACGTGTCTGTGAGATGGTTGCAGTTCCATCTTTGTTAAATTTTTGTATCACATTTGCTACAGTATTCTGACTGATAAGTAAAGCGTTGCTGATATTCTTGTAGTCTTCACCTTTCTTGTGTAAAGATATTATTTTTTTTCTCAGGCCTTGTGACATTTCTCTTCCATGTGGTGCCATTGTTGACAGCATGAAATGGGAAGGGGTTTTCTTTGTTAAGTAACACCCTTTTACAATCAACTGTCTGCTGGACACCTGTTTAATGAATAATTAGACTCACTGTCACGTACCTGATTGGAGACTGAAATGACGAGGTCGGCCTCACTTGTGTCACTAGCCCTGACCCCACTGGAAGTGAAACAGAGGGTGTCTAGGGAACAGGGGGACAAGAACGCCAGCAGATGTTGTTTGCAGCTCTTGCAGTTGGAGACTTTGGAAGACTGATAAACCTCCGATTCAGGATCCATAGTGATATGCAGAGCTGGTATGGTAGGTTGCCAGGTGTGCACCAGAGCAAGGCAGCAAGCAGGGATGGGAGACAGGAGCAATGTCATAGGAATAGCCGGGGTCATCAACGGGCAAACAGCGAGGTACCAAATCAGAAGCAAGCCAAAGTCAGATGCAGAGCCGAAGTCAGGAACCAGTATCAAGCAGGAGAGTAAATAAAGTCAGGTCAGGAACAAGACGGGTCAGCAACAAGGAAATCACTCAGGAACGAGGAGGAAATGGGGAACAGCTGAAGACCAGTCAGCACTCAGCACAGGCAGAGGCACCTTTTAAATAGTCTGTCTGGCGCCAATCTTCACCGTGCGTGTGCACGTGCGTGTGCGTGATCATGCATTTCTGTGCACATGCGCACGTATATTCACCAGCCGTCTCACAGGAATTCCCTTACATGGCCCCCCCTTAGGGGCAGCCTCCGGATGCCCACTGTAGCAATTGTACGTACAAATATGGACGCGAACATCCATTTTGCTAAAGATCCTCCATCTTGTGTCATTCTCACTCCAAAATCAGCCCCCCTCCCTTTCTATTGAATGGCAGATGGTCTGGTGTGGCTGAGTTCAGGAGTGCATCGGGCACAGCTGGATACCCTTCATGGTTGTA